AGATGACGGTAAAAATTTGCAGTGGGCTCTTGGGCTATTAGGTCTCGGAAATACCCCAAGTCCATTTGCTTTCTTTGTTTAAATATAAAATGGATGAAACAAAAAGTTACTAGATTTTGACACGTAGATTAATTACATCATGTTATTATGTCAGGTGGCAGTTATCAAAATAATTTTGAATTTATCTATTTGTTAAAAATTTGTATATTTTGATATTTCAAAAGTTTTTATAAGTATTCAACAAAATGGTGATCAATCAAAAACTTTAATCCTAAACGTAGTTTCCAATTTTAAGAGACACAAAACTATTTGCGAGGCTCTGGAAAGAGCTGCAAATGGCTGCAGAGGCATTAACTATTTCACAGAAAACTATATATAGACTTAGTAAACCAACAAATTCTGATACAGAGTACGAGAAAATAATATCTAAAAAAGTAAGCCAAAGTAAAACAAAAGTCAATTTTTTAATATTAAGGGCCATTCGCACCGCTTCAGAATAAATTTCCCCTTCGTAAAGTGAAACTTATTATTTAAGTATTAGTTATCGTAGTTTAATTCGCACCAGCCGATTAAAAAGCAACGATTAATTGTCTGATTGATTTGGCAACGTCAAGATTTTTCTAGAAAAAGAAGAAATAATGTCAAATTTGAATTTTATTTTGAATGTTTAATGAAAGCTGCGTACAATGAGTGTATCGGATTCTTGCTGTGATTGGGGTAGCAGGATCAGCTTACTGAACGGTATGCTCAATTTACAAAAATTAAATTTGTGTCAAACGATAATTCTAATTTAATGAAACGTAGCATTTGCAATTGAAAGTGAATTTATTTATTTGTCACTTGGAGTTTTCATCAACAATTTACAATAATTTTAATATTTAAGTATTTTTTTATTATTTTTATCACATTATAATGCACAACCAGGTTGTTCTTCTAGCAATCGCAAATAGCGATTGGTTTTAGGCGTTTCAGGTCGATTTTAAGAGGTTTCCCGCTCAACTTTCTTGATAGAAGCAGAAACTAGCGCAAAAATGAAATGCTCCAAAATGATATGGATCAATATAAAGCGATACGTATCGTAGAACGAAAGCGATTGGTATCGGTTGGGATCGCTATGTCTCATTGAACGCAGCTAAAGTTATGATTGTCACAGGCGCAGAAGAGAGAAAAACTCTCTCCTGTGTCACAGGACTATTTAAAAAATTAGAAGAACTAAGAAGTAATAAAATACAGCACGAAGTACTGCCATAATAAGAGTAAAATTAGTATTAATTCAATTAGATAATATAAAAAAAATTAGAGAAATCATACTAAGATGAAAGATGAGGTAGCCAATACTACCAAGAGTTTTATGCTAATTTTACAAAAAAGATTCGAAAAAAAAAAACACTTTTTATAAAAATGGTTATAATTGTATTGTCTATAAAAATATTTAAATATTTATTATAAGGATACTATAAATTTGCTTCAATTTCATCAAGACAATTAAGAATTTTCTTCACCCAACTTAAATCGCAGTGTAAAAGTAATTGTTTCTTGTAGATATTATTACATATTCTTCATGGTATCTAATATTAATGAAATCAAGTATTTTCAAAGCCTCATCATCTTCCATTATTTCCATTTTGTGTATTGCAATTTTACAAATACTAATAAATCAATGACACAATGAAAGTCAACATCATTTAAAATTATAAAAATTAAACATTTAAAGGTTAAGTAATGGTTTAAGCTGAAAAATTTCTGGGCTTAGTAAAGTGATTCTTAACGCCTTGATAAGTGGAACTTTAATAACTGTGCAAACGGTTACGCCTTCTTAAGTGTCACTCAAATGCTAAGTAAAAGCGGTGCAAATGGCCCTAAGTAAGTTGAAGCAAGTTATATATAAGATTTAGGAAGGTGCGCAACATGTAACAATGAAATCGTTACATAAGTGATTTTTGGAAGAAATGCCTGATGTGAAATGTTCTGCAGTCAATTAATACATGGATTCAAAAAATTGGCTTTCACAATAAAAGAAGTAACAGACAGTTTTTATTGGAATGAACATCGATTCAATTAAAAAAATGTCATTATTAAAAAAAATTACAAAGAGATAGAGCTGGGTAACTTTAAGCCTGTATATATGGATGAGACGTGGATATATAGCAAGGGAAGTGACAGAAAAAGTTGGCAAGATGGAACGATGACTACTGCAAGTAAAAAAAAAAAAACAAGATGGAATTCAATATATAATTGTCCATGGTGGCAATGAAGAAGGGTTTATAAATAATGCAGACCTCATATTTAAAAGTCAAACAAAAAGCAATGATTACCATAATATGAACACAATTTTTTTTTAAAAATGGTTTAAGATGAAATTTGTACCTAGTCTGGAACATTCTTCTAATTATCCAATCAATGGTATGAAATATCAGATTTGGGAAATTGTACGTCAAAATCTACCACGAAAAGAATTCCATCTAAATAGATATGTTGAGGAATATAGTCAAAGTTTTCTCATATTTTAACAACTTACCCATAGATGTGAAAGACTCACATTCTCTCAATGTATTTAAAAGATCAAAGAATTTTTAATGAATATCGGATAGATAGCTAATATAACAATAGTTTTGTTGTGTTGTATTATGTTTCATTCTCATTTATTGTAAATTTATGTAAATTCTTTTTTATGCTTTTGAAGTCGATTGTTTTACTGTGTTGAATTTAATTATTTTTTTTTTATTTCTTACCTAAATAATAACTGCCGTTTTTAGCAATTGTATATTGTATTTATATATATTTTTATTATGCTTTGTAATTTGTGTTTTATATGTATATTAGGGGTTCCTAATTATTAAATAAATGATTAATATTATAAAATATTAAGAACTCAATATTACTGCCAGTACAATGCGATACAGATGGTGCGGTCACAGTGCAAACACTTTTATGACAAAAAACTTTTAATAACAAAGTCGTCACCGGAAGATGTATTTCACACTTAGAATCTTTGAATAATGTTAAAGATCAGTGGGACAATTATGTAAGACACTAAAAACATAATTGTTTCTGATTGGAAAAAATACAAGGAATTAGAGGATTCTGGTCTAGAACCAATCATTATTAATTTAGATAAGACAAGTAGTGATGAGTCTAGTCTAGTTGTGAAGAAAATAATATTGATTAAAAAAATTTATATGAGTTATACAATGAATATTTTCTGTGTCTCTCTTTCGTTACAATATATTTTTTAACAAAGAATCTCTATCACGAATTTTCACCTGTTTTGGATTATCTTTAAAAACTCTAAAAACCAATGTTCAGCTAGGATATTTATTAATAAAGTACGAAAGTAAATTGTTCTAGTATTTGTAAACAAACTGTAGGGTCCCGTCGACTTTAGGGACAGTGGAATTTTAAAGAAATTTATTTTTTATCAGAAAGAGCATATTTTAAATAGTACATTTAAAAAAAAATTTGCGGTAAATGCATTATTCAAGCAAAAAAAAATTATTTAATTTCTATAAAAATCAGCATTTTGACGACTGTCAAATTTGGAAAATATAATTGCAACGTTGCCGGATTGTGATAAAATTAGTAGTTAATGGAAAATTACATACCAGTCCATAAATATGAAACGAGAAAACGAAGCAAAGACTTCTCGTAGGGCGACGGCTTCGCCGCCACCAAAAAACATTAACCCATACCTGGCTACGCCGACCGGCATAGACTCCAACGGCCTGGATACAGCTCAAATTGAATTGAAAATGTAAACTTTTTCACATAATTTCTTGCGATTGCGCATACCAGTCCATAAATATGCAACAAGAAAACGAAGCAACAACTTATCGTAGGGTGGCGGCTTCGCCGCCACCAAAAAACATCCACCCATACCTGGCTACGCCGACTGGCATAGACTCCAACGGCCTGGACACAGCTCAAATTGAATAATTAAATGAAGTCTCAAATAAACACATTTATATTCTGGTTTTATCTTCTGGCCTGGAGCTATTGAGAAAACAGCCACTGTCATTCCTGTTATGTACGTTCCTTTACTATGTTTGACAACACCACATTTATGGAAATAAAAATGTTAGTTGTCATATTATTCATAAACAAAAAGTAATATAGAATGGTATTACCATGAATATATTTATTTAGAACAAATAACAAAAAGCAATTGGCAACATCGCTAAAATCACGCACAGGCGCTTAGTGTGACTGTCAAATCGAAAAAATTAAAAACAATATGGCTACGTGAGAATGTTGTGAATAAATGCATATTCTTAAATTTTTAACTTACAAATGTGTTTTAACATTTGTTGCTTTAATTAGGTTAGTGCACACTTATAGAAGATTAAAAAGTGTAAAAATATTATGGTTTTACTTAATATTTATGGAAAAAGTGACAAAATTACTGTCCCTAATATCGACGGTAGCCCAAACTGTAAAACATAATCTTAATTTTTAAACTGTAAAATGAATCTTAATTTTTCTAAGGCAATTCTTGTATTCGTGTAAATGCACCTCAATAAAGTTTATGCTGCTAAGCAACAACAAAGCACAACTGAAATAAGAAAACACATGCAAACTGTAACTAAAAATATGATACTCTTTTATCAGGGAATTTCTATTACTTTATAATACCTACATTTGACACAATTAAGATTCCATTCTCATTAAAACTTTTTTGTTATTTTTTTGTTTGTAGTTTTGTGTATTCTTTTATTATCATATCATAACAAAGCACTTTACCATTTTTTTAAATTTCTTTGTTAATCATTAACATTTACATTATAAATGATTCATAACTTACTGAATCATAATATTTAATTTGTGTAAACTAAAGTAGAAACTAGACGTTTTAGCTTAATAATGCAAATGAATACTTAATTCAAAATGTATAATTTTTTTAAAAAACATTAGCTAAATCCTTCTCGGGTATTCTAAAATATATTTACTACTGCCATTAAGATACTTTAAAATTAGTATACTTGTAAATGATTTTTATAGCTTACCTGTATGCTTCTAGTAGCAAATTCAACTCCTATAGTAGATTTAGATTCCAAATTGAATTCATTTCTAGTAAATCTTGATAATAAGTTACTTTTTCCTACCCCAGAGTCTCCAATCAGAACAACTAAAATCAATTAATTTAATTAAAGATAGTTAGGGCGTAAAACAAAAATAACGTAGGCTAGATACTTTAAATAAACATAATTGAATAAATTGGTTCTATTTATATAGTTATTGATTTCTTGTTATTAATTACGTTTATTGTTACAGTATTTTTTTTTTTCATTGTAACAACTTGACCTCTGACTTTGATGACATGTCATTTTTTTTTCTTAGGCATTGAACATTTTAAAATTAGAAAATACTTACCTTTAAACAAATAATCATATTCATCATCCTTAGAACTCATTTTTAATTAACTTAACAATAGGTCCTTCTTCTCTCAATTGCTTTTTGTAATCCCCTTAATAATAACACAAAGACAATTCTAACACATATCAGTTATGATAAAAATATCGTTTTTACGAATTTTTTCTATATATCACAGACACATTACTTTCGATACGCTTTCGAAAAAACCTTGGATGTTTTGGATTTATATAGAAATCCTCTATTTCGATAATACAATTTTTGCAAAATGGCGACTGTTTTGTTGATAATTTGTACGCCCCTTTGACAATAAACGTCAACTTACCAAATCGTCAGTGCGCATGTGTGATCGATTGACAATAAGTTACACCAACATGTAAATAATTAATTTACTATACTTAACTTTCGTTTTGAAATTTGAATAAAAAATTTGTACAATAATTTGATTTCGCTTCTAATAGAAACACTGATCTGTAATGTCAAAAACTAACCTATTATTTTCCATATCTTTTCCAATACTTTCCTGACCGTAGCAGAATTTTTTATAAATAACAATTTCCTTGGTATATTCGGTCATGTTTGTATTTTCTATCATTTAAACAAGCCACTACGCATACCTATGTTTCAGAATTTTTTGTCCATCTTTTGGTGCAGTCAAAATTTAATAAAATATGGATGACGATTACAAACAGTTTAAAATTTTTAATATAACAGAAACCCTATCTTTCTGTTTCAAAAAAATCCGAAACAGATGTAGAGCTCGTTTAAATGATAGAAAATAAAAACGTGACCGATGAAACCAAGGAAATTTTGATTTATATATATTTTTATACTACTTGTTACTTCCTTTAAACCAGTCAGTTTTATGCAAACATTATATACAGTGAGCATCATAAGTCTTACCCCCCCCCTAACTAACTCGTTACTGGGGTCTTGTTAGGAAAATCGCCGAGACAGATCGATTTTTGATTTCTACAATGTACATTTTTGCATGATTTTAGTTTACCCTTAATTTCATCCCTTACTGAAGGGTAGCAACCCTTTCGAAAAATTTAAATGGCATGGGGTGGTGAGTGATAGCTCATTTGAAAGGGGGTTTCAACCGTGAAAAAAATTTTGAAATTTGCTTCATTACGTGTTGATTTATTAATGTTTAAAAATAACAAAACCTCACAAAATAGGAAAGCAACTAGACTAACAGTGACCTTCTAATGGCAAAAAGTCTTACTTCACGTCTGAACCAAAACCGGAATCATGCAGGGCCGAATTTTAATTCTAAGGATGAGTGCGCTACGTTAATTTCCGTTATTCTGAAACAACAATTAGTCGAGAATTAATGAAGCAAATTTCAAATTTTTTTACACAGTTGAATAGAGAATAAAACCCTCTTTCAAATGAGCTATCACTCACCACCCCATGCCATTTAAATTTTTCTAAAGGGTTGCTCCCCTCCAGTAAGGGATGAAATTAAGGGTAAACTATTCATACAAAAATGTACAATGTAGAAATCAAAAATCGAAGTGTCTCGGCGATTTTCCTAACAAGACTCCAGTAACGAGTTAGATAGGGGGGGGGGGGGGGTAAGACTTATGGTGCTCACTGTATAGGCTACCTAATTATATAATAGTATATTCCGACGCTCTCATTTATAAGATTTGTGTTCGTCGAGAACTGGCTATATAACACCGGCCGATATAAGAGAATAAGCACCTCTTGCCTGCCTCTTGCAGACGTTGTCAACTACATTAAATCTTAGTAGGCTGGCTCACGAGCTAGGAGGATGCACAATAGGCTTAGTGGGAGGCCTACGGTACATATATTGTACATTATTCAACGAGCGGTAATGTATCGCAAGTTGAATATTATGCTTTATCTACGACTATAACAATATAAATACTAAATAAGATGCAAGTACAGAGAAAAAACTTTATTCACAAATCCTAATATAGGTATAGTTATTACAATGATATAAATAAATTTTTAGTTGTAATTACTCATGCATTTTGTTTATTAATGAGATTAACTGTAAAGTTTGAACAACCATTAAACTGAATATGTGGGACTGAATTATCCAAGTTTATTGTTAAGAATAGGACACCAAACAACTATAGATTCTCTAATTAAAAATAAGACGATTAAACGACATACAGGGTCTTTAAAGTTAAAAATTCAAAAATTAATAATTTTTTATTTCTCCTTAAAATTTTAGTAAATTCGGTAAATATTTTTGGTGTCATGAGAGATACACCTATCAGCAGAACAATCAGTTAAATAAACTTTGCAAGTGGCGTACGACATATGGATAAGTAACGCACTTTCATCCCCTCTAAATTTTATGCAAAAACTGGGCACTTATAAAGTGATTGGTTTTTGAGATATTCACACGCATAGGTGGATTTTCTTCATTTTTAATTTACTTTTTAATTTTGGATGTTTTTATATAAATTCCAAATAAGAGTACACCCAGACAACACACCAAATCCCAGATATATCCACAGAATATATTTTGTGGATATCCAATATATCCACAGGATATCAGAAATATTCCATGGAACTAATATGGATATCCAAATGTCCGTCTATATCCAGAATATAGAAGATATCCTATGGATATTCAGCAAAATATCTAATGAGTATCTCCAGACAATACAAGAAATCCCAGATATATCCATAGAATATATTTTGTGGATATCCGTCTATATCCCAGGATATAGAAATTCAGATAAATATTTTATAATTATTTTTAGTAGAGGTTCATAAGTAACCAATGGTTATTGAATAACGTCGAAAGAAAATAGAGGTAAAAAATATTCCCAACAATCTGCCTTTGATTTTGCCTACTAAGGAGAAAATCATCCTTAATCCTTATTAGGAATCTTCAGCAATAAATGGAACTTCTCGACTTCAGTCTCTAATGAAGTCTGTTTGTGAAACAATGTCGATCAAACTCAATTACGGCGGGTTAGGCATGAGTAGATACGAAAGTGGTATCGCCATCTATACTTAGGAAGCAAAATCAAAAATTACATCTAGTAGATATCCACGATGGTTTGCGTCCGCGCTTAGACTTTGATATATTTATATTTATAGTGGATGTCCATGGGATATTGAATACACCTTAAAAAAATTAATTTTAAATATCTCAACGGTACTATTAGCCACAATGGCGAGTACAATGGCGTAATTTTTTAATAATTTGCTATATAATTACAATTATTTATGGACATTTGCATGTCTATAAATTACATTTCATGGATATAAAATAGATATCCACCATGGACTGGACATTCAGTGGATATTGGGATGTTCAGTAGATATCCAAAGGATTTGGTGTGCTGTCTGGGCATATGGCTGTTTGAGAACAATAATAATTTTGACAATTTTTAAAATCATATAATTCCCAAAATTGAAAATTTCTCAAAAAAGTTAAAATGTTCAAAACAAATTTATTCTTTTGCTATCTTTTTTTTTTAATAATTCTGAATGTTGTAGTTGTATTAAATAATGACAGATCTGTTGTAATTCAACTTGGTATTTTCGTTAATCCTTTTTAATAGTTGGGTAATTTTTAAAATTCAATATTTCTCAGTAAATATAATAAGAGTAACTGCAGGAGTACCACAAGGTTCAAGCCTTAGTCCAACCTTTTTATACCATATGTTAATGAATTATCTCAATACTTAATACTTGATGACACAACTTTGTACCAGACAGCACCAAATATTGATCTTCTATGAATACAGAGGGAGAGCGGTGAAATTCTGGTTTAACTTTAATCAACTATCTCTAAATAAATCTAGAAAAACATCAACCAACTTCACCCTAAGGGAAATAGATACTGATAAAGATTATGCAAAATTTTTGGGCCATTATATATTTATATAGATAAAAAACTAACATATCTAATCAGGAAAATCTTGAAAACGACTACTACGGAAATCTATAGAACTGCCTATATGCCTATAAGCGGCTGTTCCAAACTAAATTTCCTATGGAAATTTATTATGGGGAAATTGAACAGTTTAGAGCTATCGTAAGTGCCAACAGCACATAATCATGTAAACCACTATTTTAAAATCTCCATATAATCCGATAAAGTTGTAGTCTCCTTAAAGACGTCACAAAAAATTTCCAAATAAGATGATTTTTCAGGGTTGCTTGGGGACTGTCTCTTGAGTATCCAACAAAAATTTCACACTCTAAATCTTTGAGATAGAATAAAGATGAGATGCTGTCACGATGCTAAAGTGATCCCACCTTTTCATTACACTTTTACGTCATATATGTCAAACTCGGGATAGTGCAGCTAATCAGTTTTATTGAGAATAAATGCCATTTTTTTTGTAAATAGCTTCATTTAAATGATATAAAATAATGTTCACTCCATCAGCTTCAAATATAAAAATACTGACTTCAAATAAATTAAATTACGAATCAAGACGCCATTTTCATTACACTTTTACGTCACATGAAGTGCGTCCATCTGTCATATCGCAAAATAGTGTTTATGTCGTTTTAACTTTATTTTATCACTCAGCGCCAGAGTGGCATATCTGCAAAAATGCACTTTCGAGAAAAATTGAATTAAAAAAATTGTTTTTGTTGCTAGCATAACAGTTTTTATTATTAAAATATAAACAAAATACAATATTAAAACATTCTGAACAAAAATATAAAATGCATGTCTTCGAAAACTAACTTACTGAGAAGAAAAAACACTTGGGCCACTATGACATCAAACTATAGTGGTAAAAGTTTTTTTTTTATTTAGGCCACTACACATCTTTATCGTTTTTAAAACCATTATCTTGCGCGGTATTATTGGTGTCCAAACTACTATGGTAAAATTCGTGATATATCTAGGGCATCAAATGCGTCCTGACAAAACCGACTCTACAAAAGCACCGCAGACATATGCGCTCGACAAAATTACTATCGGATGCAGATTTTATCTTTGTCAAAGTTCTTTTAGACAAAAATTGCTCCAGGCCACACAGGTTATAGGTAATTTAGTTAAGTGTTTCTTTTAAATTATATGTATATTTTATTGCGAAGCAATCTGCGATAGCTCCAGACCGCAGAGGTCAGGCAAATTGGTTAGTTTTTTTTATTAAAATAATTCTATTTTCCTTATATATTTTAGATTTAGATTCAAAATTAAGACGGTATTTGCTACTGTTACAAAAAAGAGGCACAACACTCATGTGTTTATTTGCTAAAAGAAGTTAAAATTTTCCTCAGGAAGTAAAGAATTTTAATAATCAAAATTATAACCACACAGGAAATTCTTTGAAAGCTGATTTTAAGACTTAAGAAAATCATAGTGGCCCAACTACGCTTGAGTCACTATGATTTTAAAA